TTTGTTTTATAAAAACCAAGAAATAGAAATGGAAATGGTGAAAATCTTAAAACTCACCATTTCCTCCATTTCCATCCCTAAAACTCACCCACAACATCCAATAAAATATTATTTCCATCCAACAACTCATCCACATCATCTAATAAAATATGATTTTCATCTAACCACTCATCCATCACATCTAATAAAATATTATTTTTATCTAACAACTCATCCATCACATCTAATAAAATATTATTTTCATCCAAACATCAATCAACTCATCTCTTCTCATCATTTCAAATCACTCACATCATCCAATAAAATATTATAACAATTCACCTCATCTCATTAACATTTTATTTCTTTATTTTCATCCCAAAAAGTTATGAAAACACTTTTCTTAATCTTTCTTCACATCACCCAATAATACAATGACAACTCATCTCATCTCATTTCATTTCTTATTTTTAAGAATGAACCGAACAAAAGAAAACAAGAAACTACAGGAAATATGTTTCTTATAATTCATTTCCTTATTTTTTTTTCGCTAACCGAACACTCCAAAACTAGTTTTCTTAAAAAATCACAAACATCATCCAATAATAAGGTGACAACTAACATCATTTCAATTTCATTTCTTTGATTTCCTTCTTTTTTAGCCAACCAAACACTCCAAAAACAATTCTTCATTTTAATAGTTTTCCATTTCTTTGATTTCCCTCTTTTTTTTAGGCAAACGAACAGGCCCTAATGTGAGAGTATAAAGCTCTTAGACCATCAGTTATATTATTTACATTATTTATTATATAGTTACTGACTTAGTGAGTTTTAATGAGCATACTTATCAGTATCCACCCTAAAAAGAATAAAACATACATATCTTTTCTCCAGCCCGAAAAAGATTTCTCGAGTGTTCAAATTGAGCATCATCTTTCCTTCATTCTTTCCAAGAGCCTCAACTTTCTTCAACTTAAACTCGTTATATATTCTTACGAGTTTCCAAACATAACCGTCTTTTTGTGGACCTTACACTGCTCTTTTCTGTCATCTTGCACAGATGTGTGAATTATGATATCTATTATCACTTTCCCGTGCAAAATAAATCAAAATGTGTAACAACTTTTTCTATTAATTTAATGCATTGATATAAGTTTTAACTATAATCTTAACAAAAAAAAACTCATCCTTTTCTCGGTCCGAAAGATGCAACCCTCTTTGGACCCCACAGTAGTATTTTTTTAAAGAATCTTTCATGTGTTAGAGTGATTATACTTGTTTTGTCTATTTTGCAAATTAAAATTATATATGCAGACATCTCTAACACATCTTCAAGAATATTAATGACTATTTATTGGCATTTTCATTACGACATGTTTCCTCTGATATAGTCTAGGTTTCTTTTATTTCAAGTTCATTGATACTTCCCCAAACCCACCCTTGTGAAAGAACCTCTCCAAACTTGACTACTATATATGTACTTTTGCACAAGTCTACAAGTGTAACCATTCTTTTACGAATCTCACAATGCTAACCTGCTCTTGCATCGTGTCATGCACATGTCAAAATAATGTTGTTTGTCTTGTCACTTTCCCAAACTAAAACCTCAAAAGCGGTGCCAACAAAAATTTAGTTATGTTGAATATAACGAGCAATTTTTTGGAGTAGTATACTAATTTAGTAAACTCTGGTTCACATTGATTCCAAAGCAGACGACTCTTGCACCACCAATTATCTGATGTATAAGATTCATCGGATGTTTTCTCATGCATTAACAAGTTTTCATAAGCATACTTGTCAATATTTTCTTCCCTCTATAATAATATTAAGTAATAAAACAAGTCTTTTGGACATGTAAGATTTGTTGGATAGTCTCTCACGCATTAATGAATTTTAATGAGCATGTACTTGCCAATATTCACTCCCCAATATAAAAATAATAAGCAAATAAAACCACCCCTTTTCCTTTTCTCAAAACCATCCTCTCTATAGTGCTCAAATTCAACTTGGCTTGTTGTTTCAGACAAATCTATAGACTTTGCTTTTAAAAAGAGCTTCCCAGATGTGGAAACTATTTTCACCCTTACAAAATTACAATACCCCTCCAACCCTTCAATTTACTCGCCTCACCTTGTTACATAGGTTTCTTTTGCAAGTCTCCAAATGTAATCGTCCCCTTCTGAACCTTCCCATGCCTTTTTTGTGTGTCATGATGTGCATGTTTAGGATATTGACCGTTGTCTTGTCACTTTCCTAAACTAAAACCTCAAAAGAGGCACCGATTTAGGATTCTTTAGATTTATGGATTTGTGGTTAATTTTGATGATCAAGATTCGTTGGATAGTCTCTCATGCATTAATGAATTTTTATGAGCATATACTTGCCAATATTCACTTCCTAATATAAAAATAATAAGTAAATAAAACCACCCCTTTTCCTTTTCTCAAAACCATCCTCTCTATAATGCTCAAATTCAACTCGGCTTGTTGTTTCAGACAAATCTATAGATTTTACTTTTAAAAAGAGCTCTCTAGACGTGGAAACTATTTCCTCCCTTACAAAATTACATTACCCCTCCAACCCTTCAATTTACTCGCCTCACCTTGTTACATAGGTTTCTTTCGCAAGTCTCCAAATGAACCCTTCAATTTACTCGCCTCACCTTGTTACATAGGTTTCTTTCGCAAGTCTCCAAATGTAACCGTCCCCTTCTGAACCCTCCCATGCCTTTTTTGTGTGTCATGATGTGCATGTTTAGGATATTGACCGTTGTCTTGTCACTTTCCTAAACTAAAACCTCAAAAGAGGTACCGATTTAATTCTATTTAGCCCAAGATTAGATAGCGCTTGGACTACCAGTTGTTAGGGGTGCTAAACCGTATCCGTATCCGAGAAAATATCCGTAATTGTATCCGTTAGGATATGAATATGGTTACTCAAATCTATAACCGATAAGATATTGTTACAGATATGGTTTTGTAGTGAAATATCTGTATCCGTATCTGAAATATCCGAATACATATTAGTCATACTCTTACGATAGTTTTGATTATTAGATTATGGATTTGTGGTTAATTTTGATGATCAAGATTCGTTGGATAGTCTCTCATGCATTAATAAATTTTAATGAGCATATACTTGCCAATATTCACTCCCCAATATAAAAATAATAAGCAAATAAAACCACCCCTTTTCCTTTTCTCAAAACCATCCTCTCTATAGTGCTCAAATTCAACTCGGCTTGTTGTTTCAGACAAATCTATAGATTTTACTTTTAAAAAGAGCTCTCCAGACGTGGAAACTATTTCCTTCATTACAAAATTACAATACCCCTCCAACCCTTCAATTTACTCGACTCACCTTGTTACATAGGTTTCTTTCGCAAGTCCCCAAATGTAACCGCCCCCTTCTGAACCTTCCCATGCCTTTTTTGTGTGTCATGATGTGCATGTTTAGGATATTGACCGTTGTCTTGTCACTTTCCTAAACTAAAACCTCAAAAGAGGCACCGATTTAATTCCGTTTAGCCCAAGATTAGATAGCGCTTGGACCACCAGTTGTTAGCGGTGCTAAACCGTATCCGTATCCAAGAAAATATCTGTAATTGTATCCGTTAGGATACGAATATGGTTTCTCAGATCTATAACCGATAGGATATTGTTACAGATATGGTTTTGTAGTGAAATATCTGTATACGTATCTGAAATATCCGAATACATATTAGTCATACTTTTACGATAGTTTTGATTCTTAGATTATGGATTTGTGGTTAATTTTGATGATCAAGATTCGTTGGATAGTCTTTCATGCATTAATGAGTTTTAATGAGCATATACTTGCCAATATTCACTCCCCAATATAAAAATAATAAGCAAATAAAACCACCCCTTTTCCTTTTCTCAAAACCATCCTCTCTATAGTGCTTTTTCAGACAAATCTATAGACTTTACTTTTAAAAAGAGCTCTCCAGACGTGGAAACTATTTCCTCCCTTACAATTACAATACCCCTCCAACGCTTCAATTTACTCGCCTCACCTTGTTACATAGGTTTCTCTCGCAAGTCTCCAAATGTAACCGTTCCCTTCTGAACCTTCCCATGCCTTTTTTGTGTGTGTCATGATGTGCATGTTTAGGATATTGACCGTTGTCATGTCACTTTCCTAAACTAAAACCTCAAAAGAGGCACTGATTTAATTTCGTTTAGCCCAAGATTAGATAGCTCTTGGACCACCAGTTGTTAGGGGTGCTAAACCGTATCCGTATCCGAGAAAATATCCGTAATTGTATCCGTTAGGATACGAATATGGTTACTCAAATCTATAACCGATAGGATATGGTTACAGATATGGTTTTGTAGTGAAATATCTGTATCCGTATCTGAAATATCCGAATACATATTAGTCATACTCTTACGATAGTTTTGATTGTTAGATTATGAATTTGTGGTTAATTTTGACGATCAAGATGTCTAATCTTAACTTTTCAATTATAATGGACATATTAACAAACCCTTTTGTATCACATGAACTATGTTTTTCTCAATACTATCTAGTTTTCTCATATCTGTTTTGTATCTGTACATGAACTATGTTTTTCTCAATACTATCTAGTTTTCTCATATCTGTTTTGTATCTGTATGCATATCCGCTTATATATCCGCATGTATATCCCTAGTTTTCTCATATCTGTTTTGTATCTGTATGCATATCCGCTTATATATCCGCATGTATATCCGTAACCATATCCGATTTTAGCGGGTATTGTTATAATTTTTCTTACCGATGTATATCCGTATCCGTATCCGAGATGAGTAAACGGATATGGATACAATAAGCATCATATGCGAACCGTATCTAGACCGAATGCACCCCTACCAGTTGTTCAACGGATAAGATTCATCGGATTTTCTGATGCATTAATGAGTTTTAATGAGCATATTTGTCAATGTTCACTCCCTCTGTTTAAAAAAAAAAAATCACTTCCCCTTAAAAAATAAAATAAAAACCCCTTCTCTCTAGCCCAGAAGCCATCTGCTATCTAACCACTGCTCGAGTTCTCCACCCTCAAAGTCTCTTCTCAAACTTGAAAACCATTCCTTACCCAAAAAATTTCAATTCCTCTCCATTGCTTTGAAAATTCGTCGTACCCACTTCATAAACCTGTCTAAGATTATACAGAAAAAGGTTCCCTCTCTCTTCAATCTCCTGATCTTTGACCTTCTTGCTCTGCTTGAAATCGAAGCTCTCTCTCTGGATCTCTAGCGATGGCTCTTGCTGAGAACTCTAGCGCTGAGAACACTGTTGCTGAGATCAATCAGAGAGAAGAGAGCAGTAACCAGAATTTAGCGGCTGAGAATTCTGCTCCTGGGGTCAAACCGAGAGAAGAGGGTAGTTGTCAGAACCATCTTTCCCTCAAGAAGAAGAGGACGAACAATCTCGGAGTTCGTGTCAAGGGAGCGCGAACATATGATTATGTAAACGGCAAGACTTCCCATCGGGTATCTTTCTTTTTTTTTCAACTTTTGTTCTTCCATCGGTTCAATTACTTCTTGGCAAGATCTCTACAAGAAGAAGCGTGATGCAACGTTACAAAGTAGTGTAATTTGTTGATTTTTCTGTTCAATTCTGGTCACTGCTTCAAATTTTCTGAGAAAACATGACCTATGTCGCAAAATACCATCGTTTCTTTGTTGAGGCCGCCCAAGAAAAGGGCTGGACATGCCACAATTTCCCTTTTCTCGTTTTTTTCCTCCTTTCAGCAAAAAATTCTCACCTTTTATTATTCAATTTATGAGATATGGGTTGTTATCTATGATTTACAGTGTCGGCAGAAGACGAGGGGTTTTGCGGTTTTCTGTAAGCAGCTAAAAAAAGACAAGTTGTGCACTCTTACCTACTGCCACAAATGTCTTCTGAATAGGTAATTTCTTGTCAAATGATTTTGCATGTTTTAGATATGGCAAAAACACGGATGAAGTGGGGAAGTTAGAGAGCTGGATTTGCCCCAAATGTCGCGGTGTTTGCAATTGCAGCTTTTGCATGTAATGCTCTCTATAAGTTTGCATGAATTAATATTGGAAATTTTGAGTTTTTTATTTTTTGTATTGATTTATAATTTGGGTTTCTCAGGAAACGGAAAGGGTTCCAGCCAACTGGAGTATTAGCTCATGTCGCCAAATCAAATGGGTTCAATTCAGTCCATGAGCTATTGGATAACAAAGGCGCAAAAAAGATGGAACCCCAAAGCACAGAATCGACACCTTCTTTTTATAACAAGGTACAATATTTCTTTACGAGTTTATGTTAATTTTCAGTTCTTTTTAGTTAATATGAATGAAGAAGGATATGGTTATCTTAATACTCATTACTTTTTGTTCTTGGTTTCTTGAAGGTCTCTTTGTCTTCCAAAAGAAGTCATGACAAGGAAAACCAGTCTCTTGAGAATGAAGCAGGACCAAATGAAGAGGAACTGGCAAAAAGATTAAAGTTTGGGACATCCGGCGTCAATAAAGAACATGGCAATCAAAGTCATGGAGATGCCAATTCCAATCCTTTGGAAGACATTACACTTCCGCAAGGCAGTCCATTAACAGAAGTTGCTGGCACTGAACTGCCAGCTCTGGATGTTGGAGCTGCGTTGCGGTTCTTGGAGTTTTGTTATGCATTCTCCAAGGTATAATCCTTTGTAGTTTGGGAGCTTAGGTTGTTTTTATCCGGTATGCATTTGCTTATTAGACTATGCTTACACCTGAATTCTGACTTGAATAATTTAGTTGAACTAGATCATAATTATTGCTTCTTTTAGAGTGCTCACAGCTTTTAGCTAGACTGACTAAATAAATATTCCATTGTCTCTTAAAATAGAAAAATAATTAATGGTGCTGAAGCGCAAAACTTTGGGAACAAGGTTTTAATGTTTGTATATTTCTTAAAATTGGTCAATTACTTGTGAATCACTCTATTTTACTTGTGAAGTTTCCTACTACACTTTCTTGCTTGGTCACTCTATTAGTTTATCAGCATTTCCCAAGAGCCTATTTGATACAATATTTTTATCTTTTATAGTTATGTTATGCCTTCGAAAGTTGTTTTCTGATTAATCTTTCTTTAGGTCCTTGATATAAGGGAACGGCAACCTGAGTGCATTCTCCGAGATTTAACGAGAGGGTGTCTCGAACGTCATGGAGTGTATTCAGCACATGTTGAATTCACTATCAAATTGCTGTCTCTAATCGGAATGGAGATGAAAAATGGGTAGCTTCTTGCATTCTGTTTTTGCTGAACGTTGATTTCATTTCCTGTTTGTTGAGCACTCAACCTTTTCTGTTGAAAATTTTCTGACTGATCTACACATAATCACCAAACAGCAGGGATGCATGGTTGCAAGCTCTTAAAAGATGCATAGAGAAATCTAAGTGCACCTTGGAGGGATTGCCTCTGGACCTTCTCGGCAACGGTTCAAATGGATATGATAATCTTGAACCATCTATGAAATTGAAGATACTAAACTTCCTTTGTGATGAGGTTCTTTACACAGAGTAAGTGTTATCTATTAGTTTACACTTAACCATATCATGATTCCCTGCATATAAATTCTCATGATGTGCCATTTTATCAGAAAGCTAAGGAGTTGGATAGATAAAGTGGCTGTAAAATTTGATGAAGGAAGGAAGGAGAATAGAAGAAAACTACTTGCTGCCAAGAAAAAGGTTCTCGGTTATTGGAACTGTTTATATATTTTTTTGTTTGGTTTGTATTAGTTTAATTCTCTAACACATGACCTTTTGCAGGAAAAACTTTTAAAACAGCAGGTGAAAGATGAGGCTGCCAAAGCTATGCTTTTAGCCAGAGAGGAAACTCCACCCTCTCTACCTGAGTTTGATGGGTTTCTTTCTCAATCACGGGCTGACACAGATGGAGTGCATGCTGAAGTTCTTGCATATGTTGAACTTATGCCTAAGAGTATGTTGCCAAATTAAATGCTTTTCTTTCTCTTTTGGTTAGTTGAATGAACTACTTTTCTTTTAGTTCTAATTAAGGATGTTAGTTCTATTGTTCATCTATCATTTTATTCCTTTGGTTCTAGCAATAACTTTGTACTATTCATTTAACGATTTAATTTTGTTGGACCTGGTACTAGTTAGCTAATGTACAAATAATCTAAAAGCTTCTTCTGCAAGGTTTAATTAGATCAACTTAGGAGATTAGCACACTACATGGTTGTTTTTTCATTTAATGTGCTTAGATGAGTGAGTGGTTACCTCAATCCAATACTTGTACTAGGTAACTTTTGGGAATCCATGGGAGTTTGAAGCTCAAGTGAACTATGGCTACTGCTTGTGAGCTTTGATGTTTGTAAACTGTGACATTTTTATTTTAAAATTGAAAAGTTTGTCAGATAGAAGAAGCATCTGAAATTTCAGATAAAATGATCTCAAAAGCAGACAAGCCAGAACATTCATCATCAACTATATGGAGACAGATGTAAAGACATGTAACAAAATTGACAACCAATTATGCAAGCATGCATGTGCATACAAGCATGCATGTGCATACAAGCATGCATGTACATGCATATTCATGTATTTATTATACTTTCAAACATTGATAATTCAAGTTTAATATAACGTAAGATGGGGAATGTGGAATGTCAACAAAGTTGGTCGGGGATTGGGAATATATGGTGGTGTAGCTAGTGGCAGAGTGAGCTTGAATTTGGAAGTTGACATCATAGGCATCGAACTAATAGGAGAAAGTGATTGTGGAATCAATGGAGGAGTGGAAATGTTGGATCAATGTCGTGAGGGGCGGCAATGTATAGGGGTGGCATCATCTATAGGGGTACTGAACTCAAAGGATGGAGGTTCAAACGTTCATTTGTAAGACATCTAATTGCTAAAGTTGAGTGACGACAAAAAGGTGGGGCTGATCAGGGTCGTCGGGAGTGATGTTTGAACTATGAAAAGATGATGAGGTGGAGATTTGTGGAGAAGAAGAAACCGATCGAGGGGTTTATGAAGAGCAAAAGAAAGATAAAATTTTGGGCCTCATACCCATGCAATTCTTATTGTAAAATGTCAATACCCAGGCAATTTTTGTGGTAAATGGCAGCTCACACGCAGTGGTTTCTTGATGCAATACTAGTTTTTCGGCAATTCTTACTGAAAAATGACAACTTACATGCAGAGGCTTCTTAATGCAAGACTAGTTTTTCATAATCTCTCAATATCTCAAAAGAAGAATTTTACAAGCTTTATATTGTAACTACTTGCACAAATAAAAAGGAAGAAAATGAGACCAAATAAAATTCCTAACTAAAAAGGATGGAGATAAAATCATAACGATAGGAAAAAAGATATAAATAAAATATAATCCTAACTAAAAGGAAGAAGATTGAATCAAATAAAACTCTTAATTAATTTTGCCAATTATGATGCAATCATATTAGAGCTGAAACCATATCAAGATTCGAAAACTCGGAAGAAAGAGAGCACCAGATAAAAATGGTTGCAAGCAATATGCTAGGATTTTATTTCGTCGAAAACTTGCCACTTACATCCAAAAAAGTCTTTTGTAGACTCGAAAATAAAACAAAAAGGTAAAAATAATAATATTTTTACCGAAAATAGAAAATATCTGGAAGCTTTATTATAATGTTGAAGTCCAAAATTATAGATTTTCGCGTCTTCCACAAACTTCAGCAATCCCATTGACCCTCACGATTTTGCAAGAACTTCGATTTGATTGATAACTTGTGAAATTTGGGCAAGTTTTAAGTTTTGCCGGATTTGACCCTAATAGAGTTGAAACTGTCTATGTAGGCTGGTGTTATCTATTGGGCTGCATCAAATTCCCAAAGTTATCCTGTATTATTCCATCTATCTCATAGAATAATATAACCTCATGAAAAACATTAAATTGATATCCTTTTGATACGAATAATGCATACGGAATTTGCAATAACATACTAGGAGTTAAATAAACAAAAAACTATTGCAACTCGTACAAGGTTTTCTATATATTTGGTTAAATCTGACATTTTATTGAGGAGAATAACCGCTATAAATAACATTATGTTTTGCATAATGTTTGAGACCGATTTTGCATTGATAGGAAAATAAGCCTCACAAATCTGTTAGTCAACAATTTGTATCCCTTATAATTAAAGTTTGTATAAATGGCAAAATAATTTGTATATAAAGGAAATATATGATCTTTTCTAAATTTCCGATCATGTAGAAAAAATAAAATAACTATAGAAATAGTGAATAAAGTTATTGTTAGCAACTAGCTATCATGATTTCTCTTTCTTTGCACTCATTTTAAATTAGAGATTACTCATCCTCTTTAAATGTCATTAAACATAAGAATGATACATGACAACAAAATCATACTGTTGAAAATTTAAAACATCAATTTGAATTTCTTGTCCAAATATTAGGTAGCTAAACACCATATCAAACAACTAAATAATATTTTGATAACTAGAGTTACTAATTGTACTTGCCTAAAAGAAAAGAAGTTAGTACGACCCGCAATTGTGCGGGTCGGAACAGTCCGACCCGCAACTGTGCGGGTCGGACCAGTCCGACCCGCAATTGTGCGGGTCGGATCGGTCCGACCCGCAATTGTGCGGGTCGGATCGGTCCGACCCGTGCAAGCGCAGTACGGATCCCGAAATACGTTTTGACGGTTTTGATGCTGTTTTCGCATGTTTTATCTGTTCCAGGGGTTTCTAACTAACTTGATATCATCCCCAAACGTGGTTAGGCTGTTGTTAACTGAAGATAGAGCCAAATCACTTGTTCTCATCCAAATAACCACTTCCGAAGCCCTATAAATACAAGCCTAGGGCCTCATTTCAGCGGGGCTGGAATCTTATCAAGAGGACGAGGTGCTGCTGGATTGGAGAGTGAAGGAGCACGAAATTTCAGCAATTGTACTTGCCTAAAAGAAAAGAAGTTAGTACAAGTAGTAATATAACACTTATAAGGTATAAACAAACCTCTATAGTCTCCATGTTCGGTCATGTTATTATGATAAATATAGGTAGATTATTGCGATGGAAACTCCCATTGTTGTCAAAATGCATAGCACTAAGTGAGGAACTATATCTTTGGTATGTGTGACCCAAGATGCAAGGCTACACGTATAAGGCAAGGTTGGGCATGTCGCTCACTTTCAAGTGCACAACACAAAGACACAAATCTCCTAAGATACGTAAGGTGTAAGTAAGTGTAAGCGAGGCACGAGCCTCACTAAACAAAGTTATTCTATCGCAAAATTTTGCAATAATGAAACTTAAACTTATATCACTACTAATATCGTAGTCGATAGAATTAACGAGCACTCTAACTATCTACAGTTTGAGTTTGCTTCTTTATAATGACAATGAGCAACAATATTAGAAGAAGAATGAGGGAAACTAGATGAAGGAGAAGAGAAATCATAAAGAAAAGAAAGGGCGATGAATTAAGGTGAGACTAGAAGAGGAACAAGAAAAGGGAAGAGAAGAATTAAATGAGGAAAAGAAGAAGGAAGATTATTTATAAAAGAAATGTCTTGAATAATTACAAGTGGTTGTCAAATCATCAAAGATCAACATCATTATTGGAGGTTATAGATCTGTGTTACTAGATGGGAACATATGTATGTGGTGCATTATTAACTTTGAAAAGGACTATAGATGGAGGGACTGCTATTTTATTCATTGAAACAAGCTTTCGTGGAACATAAATAGGAGCCCAACTTCAGTTGTATTTTGCGTAGCGTGCAAGAGTGCAAAGTTACTTGGTGACTAATGGGGTGTCATACTCATTTGCATTTAATGAATCCAAGATCAATTTTGAGGTCCTAATCCTAAAGTTGGAAAAAAAAGATCTTAAGAAAAAGGGCTCCACTAACTCAACATCACATTTTATTTTTAACTCGAATTTAGGTATTTAAACATTATACAAACTTTTAGCAACCAAGAAAAACTATACTTGTCCATAAAGGAACTTACAACTATCTTATTTGGTAAAATAAATTCTTCATGAAATTAATGTAGAAGGATAGCGCCCTTATTTCGTGTTTTCTACTCTCACAATATACCTTCAGTGTTTAAATTCGTCCAAACCAGATCCTATATTTTCCTAATGATGTTATATTTTTACCAAATTCATTCAATCACCACCACGACAATACTTGGCCATATTTAACACATACTTGAAAATGTGAAGAAAGAGAAGGGAAGAGTTGAGGCTATGAGGACATGAAAATGAGATCATTCGAAAAATAAGGAAAGTTTTTCTAAGAGAATGGAGGTTATGAAGAGATTAAGAAACTAAAATGTGGTTAGAGATTAGGAGAGGTAATTAATTACATAAGTGGGGTACTACTAGATATCAATAATATCTTACGATTTCAATTTCTTTGGGATCTTTTGGAATCCATCTAAGGTCTTAGAGGTTCCATTTTAGTCTTATGGATTTGGTCAAGCCTATGTGGTGCACACCATGGGTTTAGTAAGAAGATCTGGATGAAGACAATGACAATAAAGATGGTTGAAAGATTATTAGTGCATCTCTTTTTATAGCACTTTAATGTCCTTATATTTGCGAAATATATTTTAACTAAAAAAACGCAAACATAAATAAAAGTACTTCTCAAAATGCATACAAATCAATCACATTGGTTTATTATAAGCATTACAAGTTATCGTCCAAGTAATGATTTATTATTTTTCTAGTTTAAAAATCAAGAGGCAAGGTAGTAATTCCAAGTATATTGCATAGAATAAAATTTATAAATGTAAATATAAATACCAATTACAACTTGACATAGGTGGAAACAACTATAAAAATCTAGTCCCTTGACGTGCATCACATATGTATTTTTCTTATAAAGAAGATAAAGATAGAGAGAAACAGGCTATATACAAGGTTCTTCGAATGTCAAGGAAATGTCAAACAATAAACATC